TTTGTTTTGAGACAGGGTCTCACTTTGTCATCCAGCTGGAATGCAGTGGTGTGATCTCAGCTCACTGCAGCCTTGACAGCCTGGGCTAAAACAGTTCTCCCACCTTAGCCTCCAGAGTAGCTGGGATTACAGGCCCTTGCCACCATGCCCAGCTAATTTTTTTTTGTATTTTTAGTAGAAACAGGGTTTCACCATGTTGGCCAGTCTGGTCTCGAAGCAGTCTGTCCACCTCAGCCTCCCAAGGTGCTAGGACTATACTTGTGAGACACCATGCCCTGCCAAATTTTTTTTTTTTCTTTTCTTTTTTTTGAGACAGAGTCTGGCTCTGTTGTCCTGGCTAGAGTGCAGTGGTATGACCTCGGCTCACTGCAACCTCTGCCTTCCAGGTTCAAGCGGTTCTGCCTCGGCCTCCTGAGTAGCTGGGATTACAGGTGTGTGCCACCACACCTGGCTAATTTTTGTATTTTTGGTAGTTGGGTTTTCACCATGTTGGGCAGGCTGGTCTCAAACTCCTGACCTCAAGTGATCTGCCTGCTTCCGCCTCCCAAAGTGCTGGGATTACAGGCATAAACCACTGCACCTGGTCCAGTTTTTTTTCTATCATAAGAAATTTTCTTGGCTAGGCATGGTGCCTCACCCATATAAACCCAGCATTTTGAGAGGCTGAGGTGGGAAGACTGCTTGAGCCTAAGAATTAGAGACCAGTGTGGGCGATATAATGAGATCTCTATCTACACACAAAAAAGAGTAGCCAGGCATGGTATCACACACCTATAGTCTCAAGCTATTTGGGAGACTGAGCCCCAGAGGTTGAGGCTGCAATGGGCCACGATCATACCATTGCACTCCAGACTGAGTAACCAAGTGAGACCTTGTCTCAAAAACAAAAGAAAGAAACTTTCATAATTAATAACTTCATAGCATTTGGGTTCGAATCTCTCCCACCACATTTTGCATTCTAATGGAAATATCCAAGTTGTAAACTTGAATTTAGGGAGTTTTAAGACTTCTGTAACATAGCAACAGTAATCCATTGCCAGTCCCAGAGGTTTTGTCCTTGGAAATTACCTTCATTGGCAGAAATGTAGTTGGCAAGATAAGATCATGTGGAAAGTGGGGGAAGTCACAGAAAAACAAGAAAAATTACATTAAATATTTAAAGACAACAGAATATAAAGGTTCTAGAAAACAACAACTTCTAATGCAGTCCACATTTGTTAGCTTTAGAAATCTGCTTTCACTGTAGTATAAAGTAGTTCATAATTTAAAAGTAATCTGTTCATGGCCAGGCATGGTAGCTCACGCCTGTAATCCCAACACTTTGGATCACCTGAGGTCAGGAGTTCGAGATCAGCCTGAACAACATGGTGAAACCCTGTATCTACTAAAAAAATACAAAAATTAGGCCAAGCATGGTAGCTCAAGCCTGTAATTCCAGCATTTTGGGAGGCTGAGGTGAGCAGATCACCTGAGGTCTGGAGGTTGAGACAAGCCTGGCCAACATGATGAAACTCCATCTCTACTAAAAATACAAAAAATTAGCTGGACGTGGTGGCAGGCACCTGTAATCCCAGCTACTGGGAGGCTAAGGCAGGAGAATTGCTTGAACCCAGTGGGTGGAGGTGTCAGTGAGCTGAGATCGTGCTGTTGCACTCCAGTCTGGGCAATGAGCAAAACTCTGTCTCAAAAAAAAAAAAATTAGCCAGGTATGGTGGTGCATACCTGTAATCCCAGCTAGTTCGGAGGCTGAGGCAGGAAAATCACTTGAACTCTGGAGGTGGAGGTTGCAGTGAGCTGAGATTGTGCCATTGCACTTTATCCTGAGCGAGAGGAGTGAAACTCCGTCTCAAAAAATATATATAAAAATTAACAAAAATGAAAGTAATCTGTTCCTGTAAGTATCCCTTTTCCAGAGCGTGTTCTTCCATTGTTTAGGAGATGCTGCTTTGGATAGCAACATCTTCTGAGGCAGACATTCTAGCTGGTTTCATGTTTATGTAACGTTGCCCTTTTTTTGGGTGGTGGGGACAAAGTCTCACTCTGTCACCTAGGCTACAGTGCAGTGGTTCGATCTCAGCTCCCTGCAACCTCCACCTCCTGAGTTCAAGTGATTCTCCTGCCTCAGCCTCCTGAGTAGCTGGGATTACAGGCACACACCCTATGCCCGGCTAGTTTTATTTTTAGTACAGTCGGGGTTTCATCATGTTGGCCAGGCTGATCTTCGACTCCTGGCCTCAAGTGATCTACCTGCCTGTGCCTCCCAAAGTGCTAGAATTACAAGTGTCAGCCACCACACTTAGCCTCCCTCTGGTCTTTTAAAAAATCATCTTGGTGCCTGGCGCGGTGGTTTACGCCTGTAATCCCAGCCCTTTGGGAGGTCGAGGTGGGCGGATCTCGAGGTCAGGAGTTCGAGACCATTCTGGCCAACACAGTGAAACCACATCTCCACTAAAAATACAAAAATTAGCTGGGCAAGGTGGTAGGCGCCTGTAATCCCAGCTACTTGGGAGACTGAGGAAGGAGAATCGCTTGAACCCAGGAGGTGGAATTTGCAGTGAGCTGAGATCACAC